AAAAAAAACCATGTATATAAACACAAATTGGTTCTAGCATATGGTGAACGGTACTCTCTTTTTTTTCAATATATATATATAGATACACATATATATAAATCTCGTGTAATTAACCGTTCGTGTCCCGCACTTCGTAATGAAGTCATTCTTTTTTCACAACGTTACACTTGCAAATTTCAAAATCATGTGATTGGTAATTGCGATTTCTAAATTTATACAATACAACAATAATAGGGATTTTATTTTTAGAATTAATATAAATAAACAAATATTAATTCGTATGGATTTACCGAAACTCACAATAAAATTTCCTAAATAGATTTAGGCGAATCCATCAGGTTAGATGCATTTAATTGCGTCAAGAAACGTCATCAATGATGTTGATCAATTTTTTTAACGAAAAAATAAATAAAGAAAAATGTTTTTGTCCACAACTTTACCTAAAATATGAGAAAAATCATTTAAATGAAAATCACCGTATATGGAAAGGTAGCTAATGAATCCATAAATGAACATTTTTTTCATTGAGGAGAATGAAAATATCTCTTTTTGATCATATGATAAGCATCTAGCGCGTCATTATCTAGTTGACGATATTATTTAGGAAAAGATGATGCACAAGGTGGGGCATGCTTAATCTAATTTAATCACACGGCTCGACCGAGGTGACAGGGCAGAGATATCACAGGAAGTAACGCGTTGGATGCACCTTGAATAGGAATTCTGAAACCATTATGATGTTATAATCATAATGAAAACCAAAAAAGTAGAATATTTCCAAATCCGATATATTTAATTATTTTCCGAAATTGGACTTTTTCTTATGTTAACGTGGTATTTAAATAATGAAACGTTGCTTAAATAAATACATTTACAGATAGTGTTTTTTTTTTTTGCGATACATCCGATACAATTGAAATCTTATTTTTGATAAAATGAAAGAGAAATCTTTTTTTTTCTTCTCTCGATATGATATTACTAATCAAGACAAAAAAGTCACATAAAAGATGATGCACATGACTCCAGTGTTTCATAATTTTTGTTACCATTTCAGAACGTTTGTTTGTATTTTTCCGTTGAAGAGTAGTCGTCAATACTATAGTTAAATGAGGGCTATCATCAAATGACAACATTTTAATTGAACATAGCTTTCCGTAACCCATTTACCAACCTGAAAAATAAAGCATCATATTTCACGTGATATGTGACGTTCGTTGGGACGGAGACCCTTGTTCTCCGCAGTTAGATGGGTTAACTGTATATATGTTAATAATTGCTTTTGAGAACTAATTAAATGTAAATAAAATGATCTTCGTTAGTTCAGGATTTGCTAAAAATGGTAAACAATAATAATTAATTTTTTCCGAAAACGAAGAAACAATAAGAAAAAGATATCATTTTATACAAAGAATTATAAGGTTACCAATAAAAAACCGCGAACTTCTAAAAGTAAAAACATTAAGCTCATCAGGGTACCAAGACACAACAAATAGTTAGAATTCAGGATACCTTGAACTTTATTAATTCCCAAATCTTTAATTATTATTGTGGTGATTTTTTTTGAATCTATTGTGCATTATGATGTAAGTTGAAAATCCTCTTTTTTTTTTTTTTTAGATTTTATTAATATTCATTAATATTATTGTCTTTGTTCGTTATCACCGAAATGATTATTCATTGTTGTTTAATAATAATTTAAGAGAAAAAGAAATGATTTTTCATTGTTTAATAATAATTTAAGAGAAAAAGAAATTTTTTGTTTTTTTATTTTCATTATAACAAATCAAAATTAAACATTTTAATACGATAAATTAAATTTAATAATACATTTATTTATTTCCTTTTTCGATTATTTTAATGATTTTTTTTTCTTTACATTAAAAAAAAAAAAAAAGTGAAAAACCCCCAAATATTTGACGCAACTTTTATAACAGCAAATCATTTTTTTTTTTGTGATATTTAGGAATTACCCAACCAACTTTTCATAATGTAGAAAAACAAGGATTGTTGAACCGAAAACATATTGATTGTATGCGTGTTACAAGATGTGATCGTCAAAGCTGGTAAAGATTAATTTCACTTTAATAGCCTAATAAATGTACCGCGCGAAAACGGGTAATACTTCTACATTTTGAAAAGACGATTAAAACAAAACAAACTCGAACAATGTGGCTATCAATCAAATCTTCAAAGGCAAATGTAACAAACTTTTTATGTGACATGTAAACGCATATCCGGATGTGCGACTTGACTCCTTTTTTGTCACCAAAAGCGTACGGTATGAAATGCTTTATTGTTATGTTACTTTATATATCTTGATAAAGGTAGGATATTCAAGAAACGCGACATGAAGGAAAATAATTACGCGACATATTTTTTTCCCATCGGAGTTTTCAAAACCTGTAGTAACGGAGTCTTTAATCCGACAGTATATAATTGTGGGAAAAAAAAGATTGTTATTTTTATTAACCAACTGTATAAATTTGAAATGAGATTTATTTATAGTAATTCTGATAGAATTATTAATTTTGAGAACTTTTTAATGAGTGTTACAACATATTAACCAATATAGGCGAGAACATTTGAGATTTCACGTTAATACAGTACAAAATTGGTTCATTCTGAACAAAGAACTCTTCCAACTCCCCTTTTTCAATCCTTTGATACAATTTCGAGTATTTATTCTTGTCATCGTAGGTTCTAAAGTGAGTGAAGCATGAGATTATTGTGTATTGATTACCCTATTTGTACGAAATTTGATGACGCGTGCCATCACTAGATCTGACGAATTCTTTAAAAATTTTCTTCAATTGGGAAATCACATACAAAAAAAAAAAAAAAAAAAAGAATCATGGAAGAATCGAAACTCGCAAATAAAAATAGGAGGAATAAGCCACGAAAAATATGTAAGTTTTGACAAGTTTTACATTTTCGAATACCTTTTTTTAACCTATTACATGATTTTGTTTACTCAAAGATTTAAGGCTTATTCCTTTGTTTTTCGTGACAATCCCTTTATATTTTTAAATTTTTTTTTTTAATTTAATTTTTTTTTTATTTTATTTTATTGTAAAGTATCATAGCCACAGAACATCAGATAATAATAATAATAAATAAGCCAAAATCTGCTTCGATTGATAAAGGTTACTCTTAAAGCCGGTTTCCGAATGGTACCCGAATTCCGACATCAGCTTGTTCCAAATCAGGTTATTCATTAACAACTGGATGTATGATGTGTATAAAAATAAATATCCTCTCTTCGCTAAATTATGCATAAACAGGATTATATATTATATATATAATTAATATATTATATTATATTCCATATACAATATTCTTTGTACTTGATGAAACATTATCTTTTCTATTATTTTTACTATTATTCTTTATTTATTTATTTATTTATTACGAGTATTCTTTTTTTTTATGAAGATACTATGTCACCATCAAATCACTTAAATGCAAGATTTTCACCATTTGGTAAACTTTATCATCAAAAGGTCTCATATGATTTGTTAAATATGCAAAAAAATTCTAAAATAAAAATAAATTTTTTCTTTGTAAACGATTGGTAACCTAAACATTCAGAACAAGTTTATACAGGTTTTAACTGTTTAAATCTATTTTTAACCCTTTCTTGATTAGCTACATTATGTTGCATCCTTTTTTTTGAAAAAATACATAGAAATAATGAATTCATTCTGTTACTTTTTTCTAGTAATCTACAAAATTATTTCCTCAAAATGATATAATCGCTTTACCAATGTTGATCTTTTTTTTTGATGATCATCGCAGAGTTACTGTTCGTTCTAATTATCATAATTACCACAATATCAAAGATTGGTCACCTTTTTACGATTTCATCATTCCACATGTGGTGACTATTTATAGAATTATACAGTACTTGAGAAAGATACTGTAAACTTGAAATGTTGATCCATTGACATTTCGTTTTTTGTTCTGTTTCACAAGAATAATAAAAAAAAAAAAGCAAATAAAGTTTGGCATTTTTTTTACTTGTGATTTAATGTTTAGGTAATATTGTGTGACATGAACACATTCAAAAGGAACTATTTGGGGGTTTGTCCACACGATTGCACATTCCGCCTTAATGCAGACCATGAAGTTAATTAGAATTTCGTGATGTGAGATGATGCCACTTTTAATCGTAATCGTGAAAAAAATCTGCATGACTCGTCATATCTGCTGTTGTCCACATCCTTGCTAAAGAACAAAGATGAGATAATTTATTAAGATAAGACTTTCAACGTATAACGTGTTCATTTGACTCATTTGTTAATAATGAACGTTGAAAAATGAAGAAATAGATTATACACTTGAGACACGTACAGTATGTTTCATTTTTTTAAACCATTTTTTTATTTATGTGAAAATTTTTTTGTAAAAAAAAACTCCGAAAAAAAAAATTCAAATTACAGAAAAAAAAGAGACCTATATTTAAAAAATTAAAACCCTATTTCTATTAGGACCTTAAGAGTGAAAAACCAAGAAAAAAAAATTTACAAAAAAAATTGACCGCATTTTTTTTTTTTTTATAAAAAAAAAAAAAGAAAGAAAAAAAGAAAAGCATAAAGGTGAATTATTCTAATACACGAGCACTACTTGCGATCCTGCAAATTATGTATTAAAAAAAATCATCCTTAAAATTAAAATTTAAGGGAAAAAAAGAAAAAGAAAAGTTGTGAAGACCACACCCCCCGCGAACATGAAAATATCTATATATATATATATAAGGAAATAATATGCACAGGTTTGTACAGAGTTAAAAAAAAATCTTTACATTTTATAGGAAGAAAAAGAAAAGGTGGGATGAAAGAGATGAAAGAAAAAAAATATAAATGGGTGTTGAAAAAAAAAATTAATCTATAAAGCATGAAAAAATGATGAATGTATTTGTGAACCTTAAAATCTTGGAATTATGATGATGTATAAAATGTGATAAAATGAAATTTAATTTGGCACTTTTCTTTTCTGTTCATTCACTTGCGAGAACCTTTTGTTGAGGGCCCAGTCCCTTTTGCGTGACTACTTAATCCACCACGTTTTGTTGAACTCTTCCTTATGGTCGTGGAAACGTTTGAGGTGATGTCCAAGTCTTCCACCGGTGATGTTGGAGAAAGCAATGATTTTGCTCCTCCTCGTCCCAATCGTTTCAATAATTTTCCTTCCATGAGCTTGCTCTTGAGTTTGTCGACATATTCTTTCAATTCCAAATTTTCTGATTTGGCTTCTTCAAGTTGTCTCAAAAGAACGTTATTTTCGGCGCTCAATTCGGCGATGGTTGAACTCATTTCTTGATTTTGTTTATGTTTTTTTGCTCTGTATTTTGCAGACGCAATCTTATTTCTTTCGCGACGTTCTTGCAAGGAGAGTGGCATAATCATTCCTGAGGTTTGTATGGTTGTCATATATGAATTTTGATCTTCCGATTTTACTGATGATGATGTTGAATTAGACGTTGGACTATAATTTGAAGGTGTAACAGGAATTTGCGTTGGGGAGGTAAGGGGGGTAAGTAACTTGTAAGAATCAAGTTCCATAGAAGGCGTAGGGATAGGGAGAGGTAAATGAGGTTGAGGTGGAGACAAAGAATAACGACTAAATTGATTTGATCCTAATTCAGGGCTAGGATGACGATTCAAGTGATTCTGAAGATGAGGCTCAACTGGTGAAGTGCTAACCGAGGACAAAGATCGAACTGGTTCATTTATTAAATCTTGAATTCCAATTCGTCTTCCATGTACCGTTGAGTAATGACGATCATATTCCGAAAAACCGCGAGAACCAGCAGCGACGGTTACGGAAAGTTTAGCTGTTGTAGCTGACATTTCTAATTGATTAAACAATTTGGGTAATAAAGAGAAAAACCTTTTGATGGGGAATCAAAAAAAAAAATTGCAAAACTTTTTGAAGGATAAAGAATCTCTTTGAAAATAAAAATGATCTCGATAAAAGTTTTTTTTTTTCTGTCGAATAAAAAGAAAAAAAAATTATTTGGTAGCGAAAACTGGTCTTTATATATATATGTTGGTGTTTGTAAAAAAAAAAAAAAAAAAAAAGGAAAAAGAATAAAAGAATAAAACACTAAGGTGGCTTTTTGTTTTTAAACAAGTTTTTATATATATGTAAATTTTTTTTTTTATTTTATATTATTATTACTTTTTATTTTTTCGTTAGATACTTTTCTATCTCTGATATCTAACAAGTAAGTTTTTTTTTTTTGGTGAAATCAGGATTTTTTTTTTTTTTTGAAAAAAAAAGTACAAGAAGTAATAAGTCTTGCAACGAAACAGAAACCTACCAAGTCAACCTTTTTATAAGTTCTGTGAACTTCTATCAAACTGAAATCTTTAAATTGATTACATTAAAAATAATATTGTGTGATATGTTATGTTATTTGTTATTGTAATTTGATGTATAAATTATATACTGTAATTAATTTCAAGTAATAACATATATTTTCAAGTCACTAATTGATATCACAAGGATAGATGTCACAGTGATATCCCAAAGCGTCTGACAAGATTTGATTTGCACTTGCTTTATGCAGAAAACCTCCGAGTTGGTCGATCAATTTACTATTCAAATTAGCATGTTCGGCACTCACAAGCCACACATAATAAATACTACACAAAAGGGCGAATGACAGAGAGTGTGGATGAAATTCATTTCATTTCTTCTGATGAAAATTACAAAAATTACAAGCAAGGGATCGAACTAGACCAAATAAAGACTTTGAGTATACTAAAATTTTATTCCTTTTTTATATATTTTCTTTTATCATCGATATGCCGAATTTATGATCATTGTTTGCCCCCCTGCTATGGTTTATGGCTTAATATCTGATAATTTCCTAATTAAAAATAATGAACCAGCTTTTAAATTATTTGGTCAATTTTTAATGCAAATGATATATTTAAATATATTTATAGATAAAGAGATGGTCAAACCGTTAATGAAAATTATTTTTCGGCATGGAATCTTACAACACATCTTGGGGTCGTAGTTTTTTTTTATTCAGATTGATAAACTACGTTCAAATATGAATATGTAATTTATATTTAGGGTATCTAAAACTAGTAATTACCAAAAAAAGAAAATGACATCATTATCCTTTTAAAAATAAATTCATATAGGATTTTTTTTTTGAAACAAGGAGTACTCTATTATGGTAAATGGTATAATTGCGCATTTTTGTGGAACTTTTTAATTTGTAATAATGTACCCGGTAATGATGAGAGAATAATGGCCTCCATTCAGCCAATAGAAACGTTCAATTTTTACTATAAAACTTGATAAATAATGTCAACGTGGACAAATGATCCTCATATATGTGTTTAGTAGATCCCAAAAGTTCTCATGATTTATGCGGCGCTTCAATTTGAAACTTGTGAACTCGGGATATTTTTTTTCTCTCTCTCTCTTTCTCTCTAGTGGAAAAAAGTTTTTCCATTACAAGAAGCTAACTCCTTGGTTCACAGGGATGAGAAAAATACAAAACGATGTAACAGAAAGAAAGATTTGAATTGTTGCAAGGTAGGGTATTCCGTAAGACAAGCACATAACAAAAATTCATGGGAATGAATCAATTTATTCGTAAAGAGATTGCCAAACTTACTCTTGGCATCACGGAGGATTTACGTGTATGAAAAGGAAGTACGACAAAACATCGTTAAGGTTCACGACACGTTATTCTATTCAAAAACTTTAAAAATGTTAAAAAAAAAAAAAGAAAAAAGAAAATCTGAAACAGAATCAGTAGATGATATTCTAAAAAGATCTAGAAAAAAATTGTCAATTTTTTTTCTTTGTAATTTTATTTTTTTTAAGCGGCGACTGATCTTTTTTGATCACATTTATTATTTGTTAGATTTGTGGCCTGTAGTACGCAAACAGCAACTGTTTCGTTAGAAATATATCAAGTTCCAACCCATTCTACTTATTTTTTTTAAAAAAAAAAAATATAAACCTTGGCTTGGCGTAAAAAAAAAAAAAAAAAAAAACGGAATATCAAATTTCTTTGTTTTTTTTTTTTTTTGCCTTACTGAAACATTTTTTTTTACCCCGCGTATACACATTTAAAGAATCCAAAGTTTATTAAACATGAAATCCTTTCCGGAAAGTATATAAATTAATGCGGTACCACGTTTTTTTTTTGACAATGCCTTAAATACATGCATAGAAATGATATAACGGAATCGTTTAAGCAATTCTCGGAAATTATTATAATTATTATGCATTGTCGTTATGTTTTTAATGATCGACACGTGCCATTCGCCACAATTGTTTTTGTAAGACAGGAGGAGGTCCAAGAATTTTTTTTTTACGAATAAATAATTTTTTTTTTTTTTTGCTTTTTTAAACAATGTAAACTTAAATGAGTCATAGTTCGTCGCCAATGAGCCTCCCCCGTAAATGACACAAATTCAGGAATCACGTAGACTTTGATCAACTGTTCTTATATCACAAAAACATTATAGCTTTTCACGAACAAATATAGCTGAAAATCTGATTGTTGCCCATTGAACACAATGTTTCGTCGAAAGGAAGATTCCAAATTGTAAATCAAATTTTCTTTAAAAAAAAAAAAACCTTTATTGTACATACAAAGCAAAAATCGCCAAGGTGAACGAACGTGAGATTGTGCTCATTTTTTTTGGGGCAAATTTCCATGCAAACAATCCCATTAGTTCATTCATACATGCATAGTTCAAACAGTTTCTTGCGGCTCCTACAGTACAATAGATTCTTGTTTCCCAAAATCTTTGGGATCCAAGTTGATTTTCTTTGTTCTTTAAAATCTTCTATAATCCCTAATAAAATGAATAAAACGGGATTTGATTATATTCTAAAAGTAAACAAGTAAAATCATAATAAGAATAATAAAAACAATAATTTTAATCACAATCGGACTGCGAGCGCCGATGAAATATGTTCAAGGGGTTAAGTCTTAAATATTATTAAAACATTGTTTCAAATTTAAGTATATTTGGTAAACATTGCGCATACATATTACATGGATAACCTTATTATATACATCTATACATATAAATCATATCATATTATTTGTTAACTACATGTTTAGAATATGTGCGATAATCCTAAAACGCGAATATTAAATAATACGACGCAGCAGGTTTCATCGATTTTAGGAAGTTTGGAATAAACGCGTTAATTAATTAAATTTAATGATCATCTGATCTATAAAGTCAATGAGCACGCATTCATTATATTAAATCAAACCAATTATGCAATTATGTGTACATATGAGGAAAATTGAGCGCTTTCAAGACCGGTTGAACATCAAGATATAACCAAATGGGTCGCGTACGTTTACAAAAGAAACCCTTCTCTCATGATTTTGTCTTACATATTCAGCCCATTGGAGTGATATCTCAAATTTGCGTATTTCATTTAAATATTGTTCGGAGGACTTTCTTTGTATTCTTTCATTACAAAAGAAAGAACGCCGTGAAAATATTGATAAATGAGGAAATCATCTCTTTGATTCAATTAATTATTAATTATTCGTTTCGCGGGTTCTTTCCAGTGACGTGCATAGATTTAACCTTAAGAAGATGGTATGAGAAAAAAATCTTTCCCCAACACAAGACCATGAATGAATTTGTTTCAACCTTTGTTTTAAACATCATACATTAGACGCACCTCGTCATTGCGTTTATTTATTTCACCTTTTTTTTTGTATGTGTGCGCGAGTGTGAAATAATGTAAACTCATAAGTGATTGCGTTGATTCTGTGATATATAAAGTGAATTGAATTCTAACTAAACCGGAAATATTTGAGTAAAACAAAGAAACCGAAATAATACGGAAATAATGTTCCGTACTTAATGCGGATTGTGCGACACGTGATTGACATCTAAGAATCTTGGGTATCGATTTCACATGATTGAATTTTCAGGACCCAAGCATGACTTTGGCGCAGTGAACGGGTATTCAAATTTCTCCAAGCATATCCGTTGATGAATTGAATCACAACCCTCCGGAGAATTTGACAAGATATAAATCTTTGAAAATACTAGAACTATCGGACAGTTGAAGGACATTTAAATAAAAACCCAGCAAACCCCGAAACCTTTTAAACGTATTATATATTCGGAATAATACGAATTAATATGCAGAGTAGTACAATATAGTACGTACGTACCTCAGAGACTTTTTATTGGGTCAAGTAATCATTGTTTCGGGTTTTATTAGTTGAAGTATTCCCCTATATATAGTTCTTTAAGTGTTTATGCATAGACATGCAATAAAATAATGTTCATCTTATCAGATTAAGCTAATTCAGATATTGTTTTATTAAATTATTACAAGGGATAAAAAAAATTTGTAAAAAATTTAGGTCCATGAAATAATTTATTGTCCCACGGTATCGTGTATGGCCAGGGTGAAAGTTGGCTAACCAATGGTAAAGTCCTAACGTGCCAATATACAATATAGTTCGTTGTCACGATGAATTTTTAGAAGAAAAAATTGGCCCACAAATGAACCATATAAACATTCTAAATATGTGGTGGCTTTGCAAGAGCGCCACACCTCTAACTTTACCACACCTCAAGAGAACCAATTCATAATAACACCGCAAAACAAAAAGCTCGTCGTGCATAATGTATCATAACATTTCCATCATATTAAATCTTCTCGTAATGTTGTTGTTGTAAGATTGCTTTTTTTTTTCTTTATAATCCTAAATCAGCTCTTGTGGGACCATGATGGAGAATTACATCATCATACAACTTGTCTATTTGTTTATCAATCTATCTTTAAAAACAGATCACGTGAACGATCATCACGTACGTTATTGGCGATCGAATTAGCATGAATGAAATCCAACTTTAGCTTTCAAAAAAAAAAATAGTCAATCACAAATAAAGATTATAGTATAATGTTATTTTTCATTTAGGAAACAACATAATGGTTCATGTGAAATGCAAGTTTAATCATTTTTTTTCTTAAAATTGTTCGTTTATTATTGTGAAATGTTCTTATTTTTTTTTTCTAAAAAAAACGTTTTGGTGAAATCTCTAAACCAATTATCGTATGTTATCATCTGAAAATTTAGGCATCATTTCCAGTTATGCAACCTATTTTTGTCAATGTAGTGAAGACATAACATTGTTCTTTTGTTTATTTTCTACTTTGTAAGGTGTCAAATTATTGTTATAAATATCTCTGAACGACAGAAATAGAATGATCATGTCATAATGATCCCTGAATCTTCTAATTGGTAGTTCGAAGGATTTGTTTCTTTGTTACCAGCGACAGAATTGTTTATCACCCCCTAGGGTAAGTTATAAGATGAACTTGGCTTCCAAGATATGAGTTGTCTTTAATTTGGCAAAAAAAGAATTCATGAATGAAAATGACGCCAATCAATTATTTGGTCGACAAAAATCTTTACTGGGTGGTGGTAATGTGTATCATTTAAAACTTTTCTCGTGAAAGAAAAATAAATAAAAAAATTTAGATATAAGGTTTTACAGAATGACAAGAATAGATTTACCAATTATTTTTTTTTTTTAAAAAAAAAAAAAAGATACAAACATCATGTAAGAACCCGTCATATCTTGCGATAAAGAATTGATGATTATCTTGGACGATAAGATAACCAAGGCAAAGTTTTGATTACGCGAAAAGAAATTATGCGCGAATACAAAGGATGGTAACAATGCAGAAGATTCGAAAATATTCTGGTCGCATCTGTTCTTTAACATGATGTCAAGTCTAAAAAAAAATTAATGCATGCGTATGTTACATATTCTTAACTCCATGTTGAAATACCCTATAACAGACTTTTGTTGTTCTAAAAATAAGTTTGAATGACTGTTTCGAATAAGGGAAACAGTTTCGAAATTCGGATTTATTTTCCGGAACTCACAAAGTAATCAAAGAATGTTTAATTGGTTTAACCATTTGTAATTATATAAGGTGTGTGTGCGAAAAAAAAAAAAAAAAAAAAAATCTTTTTAACGTTTTTATATTTGGCCAAGAAAACGTCATTGCATAACAGACAGATGGTACATTAAAATTATAACGTCCCGATAGAATTATAATATCGGACCTTTCTATAAATGTCTAGAAAAAAGTTCATTGGTGCAACTTTTGAACATTTTTCCGCGAAAAGGAATTTCATATTTAAGATGATATTTAAAAAGAATCACAAACATGCGTGTCACCACGAGAAATATTAACTTTCCATAAATGGTAATAAGCAAAGAGCCAATATTATTGGTATGATCTGCAAGGGTGTATTCAATAGCTGCGCCAACGTTGAACTCTTGCGTCATTCGAAATTTATGGTCATTTCTAATCCTTACATAAAGATGCCAATAAATGCTATCTGGTTCGAAGACATAATTATCTCTTGTACGTATAATTAATTACGCTACCCAGTCTCAATTGATAATATTTGATAAAATTCCCCTTGATTCTTAGTGTATTGTGATGCATGCATCATCTCATCATAATCATCGTTCTCGAATTCAAATGCGGCTAATTTCTTTTAAAATAAATATAAAAAACGAGTTTTTGATTTTTAATTCCATCGTTTTTTCACAAGGCTACGTAATCGTACATGATTTACTGCGTCAATCATGCAGTTAAAACATCCGCGTGTCATCGTTATATATATCACTTGTCATGCGGTTTAAAAAGATGTGACAATGTCGAATAAGTCACGAATGATTTTCGAGGTTTGTTTATTTTTTTTTTTCAACAAAAAAAAAGGGCGATTGATAAATTGAATAAATCAAAAAAAAAGAATTGATGGAAATGGGGTAAATTATTATTTATTAACACCAATAAAAATCAAAAGAGTATAAAATGAAATAATCAGTATTTTATATATTAGATGTGTGATTAATTAACATAAAATACTATTTTATTCTAAAAAAAAATTTTAAATATATTTACAATTATCTTGATTCTTTGTCTTAACTATTATATAAGTATTGTATAATGTATGAAAAAATAAACTTTAAAAAGAGAATATTCTTTTGATCGGTCAGGTCATCTTGATGCAAAGATTTCTTTAGTAAGACAGGAAGTATCTCATATGACATAATATGGAGTGTTGATTTCCTTGTGAAATCTTTCTTTTTTTTTGCAATCTTTTTATGATTTTATTCGTTAAAGAAATAACATTATTCCCGAGTTTATTTTTAAATTCCGTTTATGGACTACCCTTTCAAATATATCATGTAAAAATCGTACAAGAATATGATTCTATTTTTATTTTATTTTTTTTTTTGATTGTAACAGGAACTTGATTTACAATTTAGTTCAATTTATTGGTTTAAGTATATTAAATTATGTTTCTTTGCTTGTTTATAATTTGTTTTTAAACTAATTTTTTTTATAACGCGCACAAAGTCTGATGTAATATCTTATCATGAAAAATTCTTTTCTTGTTTTCCAATTTGAAAATGATATATAGATGATCCAATGATATATATTTATGTGTACTCTTTACAGCTTGAATCGGATCTATTTACATAAAATCCGCGTAATGTACAAATAAATCAATCTATCGACTAGGTTCCAATTCCAGTTAAATTGAAATTACACAAGTAAAGTAGTTCATCGATAGTAATCATAAACGTAATCATAAAAGAATACACTGTCGAATAACAAAGGCTTCTTTCAAGTAACAAACCACAACAGGTGAATTAGTAAGGTGATAAAATAATAGAATTACTAATTCTTTTGAATTACAAAAATGGTCTAATAATAGCAATTACAAATTTGGTAGGGGAGATGAGAACAAAAATAATGTTTATCATTCTATCCACGTATTTTGTCAAACATGAAAAAAAAAAGAGAAAAGCACAAAGAAAATTTCGAATGATCAGTACAATTTTTGAGGAAAAAAAAAAATTTTTTTTAATATGGTTATTTATGTTTTGATAGTATGAAAAGTGGCTTGGTCACTTTTTAGATACGCACTTAATGTATACAAATCACGTGATATACCGGCCGTTCGTCGAGCTATTTCCATATTTGGTAAGTTATTCAGTATTTCCAAATCTTACCCATACACTAACTAATTGGGCTGAAAAATTTGATACCTATCGAGACGTGAAATATCCGTCGCGCGACACTTATTCATGTACAAAAAAAATGTTTGGTGGCGCAAGTAATTATTATGTTTAAATTGCATTTTAAGTTTATTCTTTTTTAAGGTTGAATTCTGATAATGCGCAAAACGACACAAACATTGTATATCTTATATTCTTCTTTCATGTATTGATTGATGCAATTAATTTATCACACGAGACTTCTGTAACCTTCTTACATTTTCTTAACAATATGAACATGTTGTCAATTCAATTCGATTCAATGATCGATGAATAAGGATCTAATTCGGTAGAAAATAAGAAAAAAAAAATCTAATTTTTGATTACTAATTCTTTACAAATCGTCTTTAACACTCAACCCTTATTCTCTCAAGAAGGAGAATTATCTCTGCCCTTAAAACAAATATGTCATGAATTTAAACATTTTGGTTTCTTTATCCACAAAATTGGGAATCACAAGTTGATAATCAAAAGTCGTCAAAAATCTTGTAATACTTTCTTTTTTTTTAAAAAAGAAAAAATTCCCAAGCCTTTAAAAATCACAATCACGAAAAACGCCAAAAGAATAAAAAAAATTTTAAAAGAATCCTTAAACGTTTCATGTTAATAGATTCTTCACTGCTAATTTTGTCTAATGAAATTATTTACATGAAGCACATGCACAATGATCAATATTCAAACACGAAACTCTTCCCGATAAGAGACTTCGCCACACTCAGTATCTTATCCATCACGGCCGTCATTATCGTCTGGCACAATTGTCGATCTTCGATTTCTTAGTGGCTTGAAATTCTTTTTTTAGGTTGACATCTAATAATAAAAAAAAAGATTAAACAAGGGATCAAATTACAAGTACGAAATTTGTTCAGCAGCGATATCTTGTAAATCTTACTACTCCGAAAGATATGGGGTGAGTGCAGGAAAAAAAAAAGAAAAAAAAACATGCGTAATGGTTGCAGATTTGATCATTTCAGAACATTTTGTAACAAAAAAAAACTTTTTCAGTTCTTTTTCAGCGTTCCAACGAAATATTCTTACCCACGAACTCATTATTAATATTTTGTAAAGTTTCACATTAGATAAATGAATTCGTAAAGAAAAGATCTCTCGACATGAACAGGAATTAACAGGATTTGTTTTTAAGATGAATGAGTGAAATCGCGTTATCATCACATTTGTAAAGTAAAGTTCATTGAACTCGCATAAAAATTAAAAAAGGATGTTTCTTGCCAAACTTGGATTGGATTTAGCTATTTAAAGACTTGCCAAGAACGAAAAGGCAACATTTATTTTTCTTTCCAACAATTTGTATGTTAATAAACATAAATAATAAAAGAAAACAAATAAAGTTTTTAAATCCCTAAAAAGTATTGATATACATATCTTTACGGAATTAAGTCAAAACGCGTTACTTAATATTACGCGATAAAGAGCTACAGTATATCACTCTTTAATAAAATTACAATAATACATTTATTTTGGTGATAGTGACTTGATTAAACTGATGGAGAGATTACATATATTTATGTATATTATACATTATATTATGCGAGTATGCGTTTATGGCTGGTATAAATAATAATCCCATATATCCAAGACAATTTTCTTTGTTTTCAAAATAAAAGATTGAACTTAATCAATTTTACATTAGACACTATATATAATGTGTACATCAATCAATTTCCATATTAATTAGCTTTATCACTATGACTTAAAAAGGTTTATTAAAAAACACAAATCAACTTATGATTCTGATTAAAGACCTCGCGTGAATAAGAAGAGGGGTTAAAGTTTGTGTTTCAATTTTGTTTCATAAAATGGATAACCGGATTTTTGGGTCCGTATATTTTTTTTCTTTATACAGCAATTAAACAAAAGTTTTTTTTTTGTTAATTCAAATGGAATAAAACGTGTATGAACGTGTACCTTCACAATAGGGAATCAATTATATTAAGAATATAATAATTGTGATAACATATATTAATAATTATATTATTTTTCTTTGTATTAAAAAGTGTTCTTTGTTAAAGAAAATCAATCGTCATATGATTAAATTTCTTATTAGTTTGATCATCATCATCTTTTATACTCGTTTTGGTTCACTTATACTGCGGAATATTAAACCTTAAAAAAATTTTTGTGTTTGGAAGAAAACAAACATTTTACATATTAGAGATCCCGTATGTAAGAAATTGCAAACTGGGAAATGTTAAAAATGAACAAAGAACATTTTTCAGATTATTCTTAAAAGAATGGATATTACAAATATTACAAATGTTGACTCATTTTCTGATCGGTTAAATAAAAATCCCCTCAAAGTCGATTTTCATTTTGTTAATGAAATTAGCCATTTTACTTACTAATTTTGTACTTTAGGTAAGAAGTAAAATAATTAATTTTGTTTATTTATTCTTGGAAATGCGTCTTGATTGAAATGATAAAATTTTTGTAAGGATTCCTTCATGTTTTGTGTGATCGTTCGAACCGGAATTACCTTACTAATTTTATCGTTATTGATTTAGACCCATTAGTATTAGATTCATCTAATCCCAATCATAACCTGTTGATTCCAAAAACATTCTTTTATTCTCATATCCACTAAAAATTCTTTTATTCACCAAAACATAAATACATATATATATTTTTTTAAAATAATACCCTACCCTTCTTCGTGAAGGCTTACCGAAATGGAAAAGAACCTTTCAACCGATAAGAATTTTCTGGTAAAAAAAAGTTTTTTTGACTTTCCAAATTTAAATATTTTTTTTATTATATCGATTAAGGAAAAATAAATAAATAATTAAGTAACAAATAAATTATTTAATTACTTTTACAACAACAATCAACAACAATATCATTAACTAATAACATTAATAATAATAGTAATAATAATAATAATAATATTTCCATTCCGATGAAACAAAAATTTCAAGAACTGAAACATTTTAATTAATGACAATGTCGCAGGATTAAGGTTGATCGGTACAATAAATAATTGAGCATCGGTTTTTGATCGTTTAACTTGGCAAATAAGCTGTGGCGATAAAAAGGAATCCAAAATTATCTTGCCAACGCCAAAATACACCATATTACATCAATTGATTCCTCTCCATAATTCCATAAAGGGTAATTCACAAAGTAAACAAATTCAATTGATTGAAACATATCACAAACCTAAAGGAATTCATCACATGTTCAACGAATCCCAATTTATTTCCCTTTCGATGTGTATGGTTTGCTTATTTTGTAATTTATTTATTTATTTATTTATCATCATAATCATATAACCAGATCTCAAAAAAAAAAAAAAAAAAAAAAAAAAATCGGCCGAGAGAACTCAAAATCAATCATCATAATTGAAATCTCAATACCTAAGCCCGATTCCCGTTGAAATAAAAAAAAAAAAAAATTAACGTCATATTAGTAAACCTTTTCATTTTTATTGCTTAGTATAGGAAACAATTAAAAAGAGAAATTGTTTTCCTCAAAGGATCACGCAACTATTAAAAAGAATTTTTCGTCGATCCGATGAATGGAATGTTTACCTTTGGCGTACATTAATAAACATTAATAACTGTCAATTCTCAGATGCGTTAATGTGGTTTCAAAACTAGAACAAAGCAAGTTTTTTTTTAATTTTATCTCTTGTCACATTCCTTCGAATTGCGCAACATTAAAAAGGGCTGAACCACATACTGGATTTTACCGAATATACATACCTTTGCGATGAATTTTTTTTTAAAAAAAAAGCATTATGTTCTTTGAGTAAAACAATTTTGATTTCTCGATATAGAAATAGGATTAAAATGGCATTCAAATATTATCAACGTTACATAAGGTGAGTGAGAAGATTTTTCGTGTTGTTTTCAACATATGAAACATTAAAAGCACTTAAAATCACTTTTAAGAGACATAAGGGAAATTATATGTAATCATTTTTATATTGGACGATATGAATTCAACGGATTGGTGTAATGCCACATCTCCTCGCTGGACTAGTCAAAATTATTCAACATTTTACAAAATCAATGGTGAATAGATTTACACACACAGTATGGCATGATATTACATAAATCAGGACAATTTTTTGTGCAAACCTATCATAAAATCAAAAGCCAAAAGCGGACAAATCAGGTATCATTATTTATTCCTCTTTAATAAATCATTTTCCGCATATGGGAGGAAACTACCAAAAAAAAAAAAGTTTCATATTTAAATCTGGTCATAATTTACCAAAATATCATAATTTGCATATAAAGTAAATTTCATATAGATCCAATGCATGGACATGCATCACTAATTAAATTAAGTCTTGCTAGTATTAAGGCCATCAGCTTCAAATCCAATCAGCGTCTCGACGCAACCTTTTGTCAATAGAGAGTCTCAATCTCGAAAAGGCGGGAATAGGTCGTTTAACCAAACCGTTTTATTGAACATTAGGTTGTAAACCGAATTTTGTAATTTACGCGTCTATCCGACTGACAAAAAAAAAATACTAATTATTATTTTTCTCGGGAATCGTCCGCTTTTACATGAATATACAAATATATATATATTATTACGGCTTTCCGGTTGATTCGGATGACGGATTGCTGGATTGGCGCGTTGCTCGATAACGTCGCTTAGCGAATGACGCGTAAGGAGGTTCGTTTTTAAAATTCTTCGATGTGAGTTTAAGCCTAATTAGCAGAAAAACTAATAAATGAGTTGTGATCCAAGTAAATAAAGTAAAAAATTTGAGATTATTAATTTTTATTGCAATTAGATAAAAATGTAATAAGGTATTAAATTCTCAACACCTCATGTTCTTAGATCAAAATTCATGTTATTTCAAAGAGAAAATTTCTTAAAATTTAAAATTCATTTGAACTGTGTGAAAAAAAGTTTGCCAGTGACCTTTTTCAATTAAAATAAATCATTTATTGTTAAAGTTCAAAAGTTCGTAAAATTCAACTTCGTAATGTAAATTTCCAAGTCATATATATGTTAAAAGACATGAATAATTGCGATTTTTTGTTGATAAATTTACATAAAGCTGAAAGTTTTACATACTGTAGGTCGGTATAATTTTTAGCGACAACTACAAAATTCACTTTAACCGAACTTTATGAACTTTAAAGCTGCCTGGAATTACAGCACAATCAGGAATTACTATACAAAATTCACACATTTTACGAATTTAAAATCCAATTTTAATTTTTTAAAAAAAAACTTTATAATACTGCATAAAGAGCCCTTTTGAAAATTTTTAAATATTTTTAACCTTTCAAAAATTCGATTTACTTTCAAATAACGGAATGAAGAAACATAACGAAAGAATACCATAATTTTATATGTAAATACTTAAAATACAAAAAATAATATATATATTAAAATATATAATATATATTACAAGAAACTTATATATACCTATACTGTATTTGCGAAATAATAAAAAAAATAATTTTGTCATTCTTGCAGAAGGGATGATGAGATATTAAAACTTGTTAAACGAACAAATGTTCTATTTTATAGAAAGATAAGAATCTATATTTGTAAATGTTTCTTAACTAATGGAAAGTTTTTTTCTCATAAAAAAATAGTTGCACATGAAAAACGAATTACGAACGAAACTTGACATCGTCAGGTATTTTAAATAAAATAATTAAGACTGAATTAAATTATACTCCGACTGTAACGAATAATATAAATTAATATTATGCTCCAAGATCGAATGGCATCACGAGAGTCCTTATTTTATGTCATTAAAGTTAAAAAAAAAAAAAAATGGAACAAAGAAAAAAAGAAAAAAAAATAATTTCCATTAAACGAAAAAAAAAGTTGAAAATTTACAAAGAAAATATTTACAAAAAAGAATATCGAAAGGAAAAAATTATATATATATCTCCACTTGCTTTAAAAAAAAAAAAATCATATGCAATAAAGTATATTGGAAACCTTAAGAAATATATAATATGAAGGGTAAAAAAAAAATTCATAATCGGGAGGGGAGGGAAAATTTTTTAATTTTAAAAAAATCAATACGATGTCATGAGTTTGATGAGCTATAATTATAAACTCACTAGAAGTGAAAAAAAAATTTTGAATGATAATTAAATAATTTTCTTAAAAGTACAGACTGAAAACAAGAATTTCATTTATTTATTAGCAATCCGAGTTTTGAGATCTCGTTTTTTTTTGTGCTAGTTGATTATTTTGGTTCTCTTCAGTTTCCACAAAAGCAGCAGGAGTAGTATTTGAACTTGAAATTGAGTTGTCGGAATCCTCGAAAACTTGACGTCCGGTACTACTATTACTACCTCCGCCGATGCTACTTCCATTGCTACTTCCATTTCCGCTGCCACTAACGTTTCCTCGTTGAGATTGTTCGTCACTGGCATTACTATCATCTTTGGCATACAAGTCTGCCAATGTGGTTGACGGGGTATCGTTACTATTACTTGATGGTGGGGTTACAAACGTGCTACTGGCAGCATTTTGTCCGATACTATTGTTCGTATATCCATAAGGTGGCATTGGTGGGTTATAATGTGAATATGGGGGAATGTAGCTGTTGGTATGGGGGGGATAATTTGAATGAGGATGATTTTTTTGTTGTTGATATCCATGATTAGAATATGAAATTGGAAGAAATTGATGTTTGCTATTATGTCCATTTCCGTTTCCATTGCTGCTTCCACTGCTAATATTTCCGCTACCGTTCTCGTATCCGACGGAGGTTGACCGTGTACTAGAATAACCTGAAGGTGAATCTGGCGAAGGTTCAATTTTCTGTCTCTTACGTGATTTACTTGAATCTCGAGCTGTAATAAAAAATATTTGTTAGTTTTTTTTTTTTAAAAAAAAATTTTTTTTGACACTTACGGTTTAAATCATATTTTTCTTTAAATTCTTTCAAGTATTCTTGGTATTTCTAAATAATAAAAAAGAATAATTCGTATCAGAAAAAACAAGAAAAAAAAAAAAAAAAAAAAAAGATTCCAACGTACCTTCCAAGAATCAGTTGTCTTATACACTGCCATGGCAGCTTGGTATTCCTCTTTTGCTTTAGCGGCTTCATTCTCGATCGCCTCTTTAATCTCGGGGCTGACTGTTTTCCAACGATCACCGACGATCTTTGCCATATCGGGAAACGAAATATTCTGTCCAGTGTATTCTTCGCGAACTTTATGAGCGAACATGACATATGCGGAGAGTGGTTTCACGGGAGCGTTCTTGTCCCTTTTTGGATGACGTTTATATTTACGTTTGGAAATTCCGTTTTCCGTGGAATCTGGTGGGTCCGGAGGATCATCGTCCCTTGTTGACCTGCTCCTTAGTTGAGAGGATCCTACGGTCGCTCCATTTGAATTTAAAGTTCCATTAACGTAAGGAATTTTTTGTGAAACATTATGATCCGCGAGTGCTAATCGAATAACAAAAAAAAAAAAAAAAAAAAAAAAACGGAGAAATTAAAAAATATAAATTTTTTAAAAAACAAAAAAAAAACCACTAGGGCTCATTTCCGAGGGATTAATTACGCGTGATACAATCCGGTAAAGATTATTGAAATTTCAAATAATTCAAACACATCGCATTTCTATATGCGTTTAAAACTTACCACTTGAGTCTTCTAACCCCGTCCCATGTTGAATGTGTAACGGCATATTTGGAGGAACTCCCTTTATCGTAGCGATCTCTCTTTGCAACCGCTATAAATTTCGTGATCGACGCAGAAAAAATCAAAATAAATAAATAAATAATAAATTTAGAATTATAATTCCATGAATCCATGATGAATTAACATAATGAATAATTAAATCATTACCGAGCAACGATAAGATGTTTTATATTTACCCTTCGATGACCTCGTTTGACGTCCATCGCTATCAGATCAAATTCGGCAACATCGAGGAGCTAACCAAATATGGAAAGAAAGGAAATTAATATGGTTATATTTAATTAAATATTCCTGACGTTATGGTCCAAACAAATTTTCCATTTTTGGCGCGGATATTATCATTAAGGCAATTGGCTTAGAAACCGGTTTTGCGTGTGAAACGAACAAAAAATGTTTTCAGACGGTGTTATTGCTGACATAATTCATTACAAATTGTCCCCTATTCGGATCAATATGTAATGAAACGTTGAGAACCATCTCGAATGTCCCAAAGAACAAATTCATGGTGGCAAAAAACAAACGTTTTGAAATTCTACGATCTATCATTTGCTATATAAACTCACCTCCTCGAAAATTTCGGTTCTTTCAAATCTACACAAAACGAAGCCTTTTTTTTCTTTTTCTTTCGGATCAAAAAACAAAAATAAAAAAGTAAAGCCGTTCAAGTTGATAACCTACCGATTGTAGTTGATCGAATCCTTCGGATATGAATCTGTCATAATACTCCAAAAGATTACATCTTCTTAGGAAGTCTCGAACCTGTGGAAAAGCTGTGACATTCGTCATAGTGATTGAATTGTATTTTTGCTATAAAAATTGCCTGGGTTTCGGTAATGTTGAGATAAAGTTGTTAAAATTAATGAATAATGAAAATGGAAATGATTCGATTAATGTATTGATTTCTTGAAAGGCATTAAATAAATTTAAAAATTAAAACAATATGATGAACAAATGTTTTGTGGGAAAAAATCAAATTGTATAAATACCATACATTAAGTTGTGAAAAAAAAATTTATAGATTCTTTGATTTTCGTTTTCTTTTTTTTTGGATCAGTGAATAGAAAGGTAGAGATAGAATAAACAAAATTTTATCTTTTTCCTTTTTTTTTTTAGTGAGTAGTTGGGAAATAAAGATTATTTATAATAATTGGTAGCAGCCAAAAGATAATTGTTGAAATATAAAAATTCGTGAAGAATGGGTGGGTATATTGGCTTTATTTTATAATGTGATTGCTAATATTAGCATAATTAATAAAAAAAAAAAAAAAAAAGAGAAAGAGAAAGAATATGTGATGTTAATATATAGTTTTAAAATAATGGTAAAATGTGTTTTTTTTTTTTAATTTAACTTTGAACTGCATATATCAATTAAATTAGTTACCCAAAAGTTGCTTGTGAAAAAAATAAAAGGAACCCAACGGGAAAACAGAGTCGAAAATAAGTTTTTTTAAATGGAAAGATCTTTTTTTTTTTTTTTTTTTTTTTTTTTTTTTTTCAATATTTAAAATTTTATTTATCAATTTTGTTTATTTGTTTTTTTGCAACTCACAAAAATGACATATT